ATGGGAGGTGGCTGATACGCCTTGGAAGAGAATACATGTGGACTTCGCCGGTCCAATTAACGGAGAGATGTTTTTGGTCGTGGTGGATGCTCATTCGAAGTGGCCTGAAGTTATCCTTATGCCACGCATCACCACAGAGCAAACAATCGAAGCTCTCAAGACCATATTCTGCCGATTCGGATTCCCGGAAATCTTAGTATCCGACAATGGAACGCAATTCACGGCAGAAAAGTTTGCGTTGTTCTGCGCAGAATCGGGCATTCGACATATCTCTACTGTGCCCTACCATCCACAGTCAAATGGACAGGTGGAACGTTTCGTAGACACGTTGAAACGTGCGTTGAGGAAAACATCCTCCGAGAATAAGTCGCAAAATAATCGTTTACGCGACTTTCTGATGAGATACAGGGTGACACCCCACCCTAGTACCGGATTAACGCCGTCCGAGATGTTAATGAAACGAAGAATACGGACTGTATTCGATTTGATGTTTCCGAGGGGAACGGAAACAATGGAAAAAAGAAAGAAAGAGATGGAGCTGAAAACAAATCACCGAAAATCAAGAGAATTTAAAATTGGTGATTGTGTGATGGTGCGTGACTATATCAGTCAAAAATGTCCCTGGAGAAAAGGGAAAATCATCGGAAGACGAGGAAATGTGATATGGCTCGTCAAGGTCGGTAAATTAACTTGGAGACGTCACACCAACCAAATTCGGCGTCGAAATATTGAGTTGAATCACGGTGATTCACTTAATAACGATGGATCGATCGCGAACGAGGATCAACAGTCAATCGAACAAGGATGCGATGCGGACGAGGATCAACAGTCAATCGATCTATTCAATGGACCGAACTTATCCGATGGCGATGATCATCAAAGGACGGAAATGGCGGATATCGGACGTGATGGCGGCGACGTAGAGGTGCAAAGCAATGGTCATGCAGAAGTTCATCAACAACTTCGTCGATCAAAGCGTGCGACCAAACCCCCCAATCGACTCAGTTATTGAAGAACTCGGGGGAGGTGTTGTGATATGATCAATGTGATCAAATATCAATGGGTGACATGAATTGTGATATTCGTTGTAATTGATCTTTATGTTTGATCGGTATATAAGCAGCAACTGTATATAAGCAGAGCGTTTTGTAATAAAATTCATTCCGTGTAAATTCTCATTGTATCGTCTATTAGCTGGTTTCAATAAAGTTTAATACAACTGTGGAGTCTACAACAATAATAATAATAATAATAGTAATAATAATAATAACAATAATAATAATAGTAATAGTAATAATCAGTGTTGGGCAATAGCGCGCTATTCCGCTAGTCCGCTAATAGCGAATAGCGGAATAGCGGAATAGCGATATCGGAAGTTCGAGTGAATAGCGGAATAGCGATAGCGGGAACGGCGCTATCGCTGTTCGATAGCGGGCAACTTCCGCTATATTCCGCTATCTTCCGCTATCAGTTTATTTACAAGTGAATGCATAGTCACTGAGATACGTAATCATTGAGATATCTATATTGCGATGTCTAAGAACATATTTGTGCTGCAACGCTCCACTGAATTCGATCTACCGAGCTCCTGCGGACGATTCGAAGTTGAACATTCAATCGTAGTTCGCATATTTTCTTTTAATGCTCCCCTATCATCTCGTTTCAACTCATAATATTATGTGACTCTCATTGATTTCAGTGGTGCTGCGAGGAATTTTTCTTCGTTTTCATTTTTTCATCCTAGCTTTTTTCCGTTTTCTTTTTCGATCGTTTTCATCGTTATGGAACCAGTTGGACGTTGTCACGCATGCCAATCGAGGTAG